TTCCCCAGCCAGCCCCCCCGGCCTGGGGAAATTGGGGGGTGAAGGCCAATCATCTTATAGCGGCCAAGTTTTGACAACACTGACCTAATGCAATGGTTTACCTTGGCAAGGCAGTGAAAACCCTCTCCCTTCCCCATCCATTGTGACTGTTGGCAACATTTGAGCAGTTAAAACTAACACTTATCTTTCAGCATGTATTCATGTTGTTGATGGATCTGCCAAAATGTGGCAGATGAGGAAAGGATTACCAAGATAGTAAAGGCCAGATTGTACAGCACTGAAACTGTCATTATGTCATTGTCATTATGTCATTGCTGAGGGCAGAGCCTGGCAATCAGTAAAAGAACAGAGTGCTTTGGTATGTACATCTAATTTTTCCAGTGTGTGAAGATACTAATCATTATAATGTGCATAGTAGTTTAGGAACCAAGCCAAAGGCTTTTATGGAACAAGGATTTTGGAGAAAGGGACGTTAGAAAATCCTCACTGCCCAGTTCTCAAAGCTATCTTCACATATACTGATAAAGACAGACTTAAAACAACAATTATATTAAAATTCAGCACATTCTTAGTTTCAACCAGCATACCATAGAGCCACAATCCAACATGTTTCACAGCTTGTGAGAAATAGCCATTCATGTGACTTGAAAAGATTTACTCTTACTTTGTCATAGGTTACCAAAATTGTACTTGCATAATAATACCTACTGGGGGTGCGGGGGGAATGAGAGAGATCGTGATGCCTGTGGTATGAGAATATTGATACAAATGAAAATGTTAGCATTGTTCCAGGCAGGTAGACTAGCACATTGAACTGAAGTTGCTACTCAGTTATGTAACTTTCAACCAACTCTGTAGCTTAAGTGAAAAAAGTAGTATCTTACATGGTCATACTGACCCATCGACCCTTGCATCACTGTAAAGATAAATGGAGGTCAATTTATGCCTCCTGTCTTTGTTTTCAGAGCCTAATATACTTCTTAAACTAAATAACTGCAGCTATAGTTCTGTGCAATTTACATTGCATAAGACCACTGATTTCATTAGGCCTTATATGCAAATGAAGATGAGCGATCTTCCTCAATGAAAGCAAATGTTATCGACTGTCAGCAGATCTTGGCTTGCTGTAATAACAATTAATCAATGGAAATTGCCCTGAATCCTTAATAGTAATTTACACAAATGGAACATTTATTAACCCATCCCATTTACAGAAAACTTGCTCCTGCCAGGAAATAACCAAGAATCTTAAAGTGTAGCTAAAGTGAGGTTGGGTTTCTCTGTGTTCTGAACAACCACCTACTATCATTTTTAAATAGGTAGCCCCACGTTCTGCAGGGAGCTTAAGTTAGTATGTGGGTCCTCTGCTTGACAGTTCTACTTGCACATAGCAGAAGTCACATTCTTTGTGACAGTTGCTCCTTACACTAATAAGACCAGCAATTACCAAAGCAGTCAACAGTTATATTCTGTCCTGTCTTCACAAGAGGGGAGCTGCCAGCCCCCTTAATTGCAAGAGCATGAGAAAATGGACAAGAGTTTTTCACCATAATTGCTTCTACTTGAGAGTCTCATCTGAAAGTAAAGTACTTACAGAATGAGTATGAAGCTTCTCTCCTGCAAGTCTGGGCAAGAAACAGTTAATCCAAGGAACACATCACTCAACGCCAGTAGCATTTATCACAATGAAAGTTAAAGTTGCAACACAAGAATTCTAGCAAGTACCTTACTTTCAAATAAGATGTTTATATATAGGCAATTATGGTGGCAAAACTGTTACCTATTTTCTCATATTCTTATAATAAGCAGCTTGCTGTTTTGTGAAGGTGAGACAGAATGTACCTGCTGATCATTTTGGTAACTGCTAGTCTTATTGCTGTGATTCCTGTATGAATCAGCTCAGGATAATTAAAAGCAGAACTCTGGATTCTGTAAAGTACAGAATACAAGGACTTTCATCAGCTGAAGCAGGCTGTGGTATTGCGCTGACCTTACCAGACTTCATGTCATAGCTTATTCATGCACATTCATGTAGCTGTGTCTGCTGTACCCTTGTTTTGCCTCTTCTATTAGCAAACAACAGCACTGGCCAAGAATTCTGTCTGGCATTTCGTTTGTTCTAGTTTTATTATAACGCAGCATTCATGGAAAGCTTCCACAAATCAGTAGCTACCCTTACTCTCCTGACCAAAGGCCCCCAACAGTGTGGAATTTTGCACCCTTGAAAATCACTGACCTGAGATGTTGTTGCCTAGGATTATTGTATATAATGTAGGCAGCCATAGAAGTTTTCTAAATAAATAAATAAATAAATAAATTTTATCTTAACGCTTGCAAAGCTTACAAATCTCATTATGAACAGAACCGTGGGTCTTTCAACAGCAGTTATTTATAGATTTCATGGTTGTAAAAATTTAGCTTACAAGCCTTTTAGGTATCTAGCACAAGTGCATCATCAAGCATTTGAGTTATGCTGCAGAATAGCATCAAATGCAATGCCAGGACCAGCAAACAGACCACAAATCAAGCTGTAAGACCATCACAAATACATGAGAATGATGCTGATCTATGAAGGAATGTTTTCCCCTAGAGTAACCCCAACCTAGCCAGAAGTCATGTTAGGTAAAATATGGGCCAAAGTGGCAAGGATAGAAAAGAACTGAAGGAATATATCTCCTATCAGCTAAAAGACAAGGCATTAGTTCCAAGGCATTAGTTCTGAAGTAACATGGAAGACATACATTTATGCTTCCTTCCATGAAACTCTTACAGGGAAAAGCAATGAGCAAACCAATGCATGTTGTTGCGGCAGGAGTTAAAATCTTGATTTTCATACACACGCACGCACGGCATAGCACAATAGTTGCAATGCAGCAGAAGAGAACCATCCTCCCCCAATAGTCCCCCAATAATTACAGTTGGGAGAAAAGTATAGAGTCATAGGGGGGAAATGAAGCAGAGGCAAAATCTCTGCAAAACTGGCATCCCAAAACTATTCACACTATGAATAACTAAACTGAGCCATTTCTCCAAATATTCTCCTTCAACATGTGTCTGTGATGACTGCCTCCAAAACTTTGTCAAATTTTTGCCTCAAGTAATAAACTTAATTAAATGGTACTATTAACACCACTGGGAGGCTCCTCCTTTCAAAAATACTTTACATGAGGGGGAATAAAATGAATTACAAAGCACTTACTGATTTACCATAATGCTACCAGTCAACCTCGTAGTTTCCATCCCAATTATTTTTGTTCTTTTACTGGGAGGAAGGCAATTGACCATCATCTTTATTTTCTATGAAAATATGTGAAGCTTGGTCTTTTGTGAAATTCAGATGGAATTGGAGACTGCTTTGCTTTGCAGTATGGCATCTTTAAATATG